CACGACGCTGTTTCGTCACGCGAACAACACCGGGGAATCACACCCCCGCGTAAGCAACACGCGTGGACAAAGGAATATGCTCAAGTGCAATCCGTCTTTCAATCGTCATTCCGGCTGTGTGTAATTGAATTTAAAAAAAAAAAAAAAGAAACGAGACAAAGGAACGCACGATGAAAGAAAGAGAGCGGAGGAGGAGAGAGAGAAAAAAAGGTCAATAACGAAATGGCAGCGTGCTCCAATTTCCATTCGCGATAAACTGCCACGGAAACGACAGCGCCGGCTCACACCTGGCTTCCCAGTGTCTATTTATGCCACGGGAGAATAATGCTGGTAATCTGCATTTCGACTGACCGACTTCCATCCCGACTAAATTCACCGTCAAGTTCTCGGCGAGGCAAACAAACGACAACGAGCGCACACAAGTGTAGAAACACTTGCCGCTGGTAGAAGCCGAATTATAGGACAGGTGTATGCTAATGCGTAAAATGTCTTTTTCTTCGTTCTTTCTTCGCGTGAAACGTATATACAGAGTGGTGTTTGAGCAAAAGGTTCGTTAGATTTGGATAAAACGTGCTCATTGACGATTTGTCGAAGTGTTTCTTTTTTTAATCCGAACACCTTGCGAGCGATAATTTTTGTTACCAGCACGCCTATACGAATACAGACAATGAACTTTTAACGCGACGTTAAGAGAATACAAACTTGACGACAGAAAAAGTTGTGAAAAGGAAATTAGAAGGCGATGGGTCAAAAATGACCCGAAGACCGTACTAGGGTTAAGGATCAAGGGGATTCCCGGGGTAACGCGAAATATTCGTGTCGATAGGATATACGCAGCCGCGGCTAATTCCGCTAACTGCGAAGTTGCAACGACGTTCGTGGCCAGTTTATTTCCCCTGCGAATATTTCGCGCTGGTCCGAGGGGATTCCCCGAAAGAATCGTTCGCTATTGTAACGAAGTTGTAGGATGTTTCTCGGTTTCATAGCAGTTACTGATTGAGAAATAAACGACTTGTCATCGTTGTCAGTTATTATTCCCTCGACTTAGCGAAGACTTTTGAGTTGTAACAGTTGTTCAAAAGTTCCTCCTCCTTCTGCAGTAATACAAACTTCCCCGTTCGACGAAATACCGTTTCACGGATATTCTCGAATATTCCTCCAACACAGGGTCCGTACCAACCAATTTCACGTCTATTTCACCTCCGTAACGAAACGATATCAATTAAACACCAACCTGACCCTGTATAAACGAAGGAGGGGGGAACTTACGAATGCCAACGAAATCTACTCCGATTCTTCACATTTATATTGTACCCTACTCTACAACTTTTCTATTCCCCCCTCCTGTCCCGGTGTAATCGAGATAAAACGCGTGGGTAAAAATGTCAGTCACCATCCACCGGTTTATTTTTGCTCGCGGAAACCGTCTTCTCTTTGCGTATATACCGTGAGCAACGCGAGAAAACGACATTCGTGAGGGGAGGGGCGGGGAGGGAGAGGAAACGTTAGGATCTTCGCGATATATACACGTTCTCTGTCTTGCCTGTCTAGACGACAAGAGACGCGAGCACATAGTGGGACACAGGCTCGTAAAATCGTGCCCCGTGGTGGTTTTTCCGACTTCGGGTCGCGGACGTGTAGTGTCGACGAACTATTGATTCGCTTGGCGTTGCCCGCGGTATGTATTCTCTTCTCTCCCGTTGGTGGTGACTCCTAGCCGTGGAGCACACGCCCCAGTGGCGTACGATTTTCCCAACGTGGACGAGGACGACGAATTAACGTCGCCGAAACCGCCCTGCGTATTAACCAAAGCCATTTCCCGTTATCGACTTTTGCGGAGTTCCTCCGCAGCCGCCGCCGCCGCCGCCTCCGCGGCGGCTGGTTGGCTGGTCCGTGAACGGCCGCTCGAAATAGTTCGGGTAAACTTTTACTGAATCGGAACACGCGTACTCGGTATAATTAGAGGGGATCATCTACTTGGATAACTCGATCGTTCACAGTTGGGAAATTCTCATGTGTTATGTAACATCCATGGTTCACGTAATTGGGGAAATTGTTTTGGGAGATGATAGAGATACCGGGAGGAACTTGTTTAACTGTACTTCTATTAAGCTTGCGGGTGTTCGGATCGTTTATATTCGAGACTTCACACTTTTTTCGTTTTAACGTTCGAAGGATTTTAATGTACAGGCTGGTCTGTATGGAATTGGTGGTACCAACTTGTTAATCTTACGGTGATCTGATTGGGAATTTTTTAGTCGAGATTCCACTCTATTATTTGAACGTTCGAAGGATTTTAATGTACAGGGTGTTCTATGTGAAACTGATGGTACCAACTTGTTAACCTTACGGTGTTCTGATTGAGAATTTTTTATTCGAGGTTCCATTCTGTTATCTTAATATTCGAAGGATTTTAATATACAGGGTGTTCTACATACAACTGACGCTACAACTGTAAAATAGGTGACTCTTTGCAAAAAAAAAAAAAAAAAAAAATGAATCGAAAGTGTAAAATAAAGTTTCTCTTTCACAAGAGACATTGTTTCCGAGAAAATCGACTTTACATATTAACTAAATCCCGACTGAACCTAATTAACGTACACGATCGTTGAAATAAGAAGTCTAAAAAACGTAATTAAAGAGAGATACTTTCACGATTATGTATGAATAATACATTTAACAAAGTCACGATTAAATCGAGCTGAGTATTCGTATATTTTAATCTTTCGAAATATGAGTGCATCAGAGATGCGACTCCACGTTGTGGGTGGAGAATAAAATGCAGACGTCGTCGTCGTCGCTCGATTCGATTTTGTCTGCCAGGGTATATATATTGTCTATGATTCTCCCATAGGAGGAGAACGTATATCACGAAAACGGGTATAGATCTGGTTTTATTGTGTCCCGGTTGAATAGATGCGCGACCTATTGTGCATAAATCTCTAACCGTACGTATAATGCATTAATTTTCGTGTGGACATGCAACTTGGCTCCTTTCCGCGAGATAGACCGGTGCCGGGCGCCAACATGCTCGGATCAATAAGACAGCAACCTTGCGATCACCGCCATGATGCGACGAAACTTTCGGTTTTAATAGTGACGCAGGAACACCCATATACTGTATAGGTATTTACTTTCTACCATATCCTTCCTTCTAAACACTTCTGCCTCGAGGCTAGGATCGTTTAACGACCCTTATAACCTGCGTGCGGTTAAAACAAGCCAACAGAGAAATGATTTTCTGGTACGAAAAAAGAAATTCAAACGAATAAACTTCAGGATAAACGAACGACGCCGATTTTCCAAAAAATTGTACCTTACTATTTCAAATCGAATAAACGTTGAACGGTTAATACATTTTTCTCGCGGTATCTTTATTAATTGCAACTAGTTTATCAAACCCGCCTTCACTTATCGATCGCAAGTTCAGTGACCTTATATATGCAGCATGCTTTAAGTTAACGTTACGAAAAAAGACGACCGGTGCTTTTTTTTCAAAGTGACACTTCGAACGTAGGGAGTGGCATTTGATCGAAAAGTTAGCTAGAACGGTGTATGAATATTCTATTAATTATTATAGACGAAAACAGGTCGATAAAGCGTTTCAGACGTGGGCTATTTCTACTCGAAGAATCAACGACAGACGATATCGAATTTAAGGATGTGCCGGTTTTATTACCGCACTAATCGCGTTTCAAAGATACTTGTATCGATTTACATTTGCACACGGTTCACGAGCCTCTATCATCGTGAGCATTTATCCGTACTGATTGCCCTCTTACTGTATAGAAGTTTATTTGCTCTGTCGTGATATTAATTATCGTCCGATTACTGAACGACTAGTTCTACTTTCAATACCGTAGTTATCAGATCGATTCTTTTTTTTTTTTCTTTTATGTATGTTATATATCGTTAAAATGTTACATCGAAATTGATATATTTTCGTATATCCTCGAATGCTATCTTTATTTACGCAACATTTATTCAGCTCGTTATATCTTATACATATTTGACTGAGAAAAATTTATTTTGAGAATTGCGAATCGTATGTATTATAGTTCGTGTCAAAAAAAAAAAAACTGATTGAACGAAAATGTATATATTTCAAAATCCTTTTAGTTTCCCAGCATCACACGTGATGCAAATACAATTTACGGCATAGCAGTTGATAAGCCGGGCTTTGCTCCACCTACATTTACGTTTAGGAAATGTTTGACGCAGTTTATTTACGTAGTGATATTTAAACGTAAAGCAACGAACGTTCATAAAGGTGAACAGAAATAATGGAATAGCGCAAAAAAACAGAAAGAGAATAAATCGGCAACCAACTGACCTGCAGATGAATGGGCACCTTCTTCACCGGCGTGGTCATTTTCGATCAAATAAAAGATCACGCTTTCCGAACAAACGAATTACACGATATTATCAGTTGGATGGTATACCCTAGCCCAAGTTACGCGAACACGCTATTTTTGCACGGGAAAATCGCGTCACTCGCACGAAGTTTTCGCAAGATGTAAATCAAAAAGCGTGAGATCGAATCAATTCGAACAGTCGACTGCGACTGACGCTACGAGTGCGCGTCCCAGGACGGTGGTAAATTTTCCTCCCTACTCCCTTCGTTTAGGCGAAGGTGGGGATCATCCCCACTGAGCATGGTTGATCGTATGCCTGTGAACAACTACAGAGATACATATACTTTCGTTCTAAATGTTTTATTAATTTGGTGTAATAACATAAGTTCCGAAAATTCGAATTATTTTTATCTTAACCCACTTGGATGTTATGTATTTTGATAAACGAATAATACAAGTACCATAAAAGTTTCATAAAAGATCACAACATTTTCTATAATCCTATAATTGTAGGTTATTTACAAGTAGATAAAAGATATGTTCTAAAAAATATTAAATTACATTTATGTCATAATTAGTAAGAAAAATATTTGTAAAAATTGAACTTGTTTCCGCCCAAAAGGCACACAGTACTTCCGTTAAAACATGGCTATTCGTTTACATATGAAACAGAACTTATCTAAAGAAAAAGAAAGTGTGTTACATTTAATGCCATGTAAAATTTGCGGTGATGAATCTGCAAAAGTTTCCTCTTATTTTACACCATACATTCGTAAAGTAGATGATGAACGTATGTTTGTTACATTTAAATTTATCATTAATGCATATTTGTGTACAGTTGCTTTCTTGTCAGTACAATTAACTGAATTATTTGAAATAACATATTTAAGGATAAAATAAATATTTTTACTTATGTGTAGATTTTAAATCATCTTTTCGTGGATATCCGCTTGATGGAAAAAGAGTGACAATACCTTCTAAATACAAGGGAATTACGTTTCTTGAACGCAAAAAGGCAGATGTAGAAAACGTAGAACGCAACTTATATTCTACAGGAACTTTTTCATATTTTACCTATTGGAATTATGATAAATTACCGTCTAAAAATGATGTTGTGGCAGCTACAATAGATTGGATTGATATTGCAGAAGCAGTAAGTTATTAAACAATAAATAAAAGTACTTAAAATTTTATAGA